TGCTAATGCTGCTAAGACATGGCAATGGTAGATATGAGTTCAGAAGTACGATTTCCCTTCAAGAGTACAGCTGGTGGGATTGTCAAGAGCGATGTGCATGTCCTAGTGTGTTCAGGGGATCACACATCGCGTCCATAAAGCAATGCCGCCATCTCCACTACCTCACGACCTTAAAGGGGACCAGAGAGAGGCCACTTTGTTGTTGCCGAAAAGCTCCAGGAGCAGTCAGACGCAGGCACCAAAGAGTCCGAGGAGGTTGTGCCACTGGGCAGACTCGAAGTGGTGAAGCGTTGCAGTTCATTCCAGACTTGCATGGTGGGAGCCACTTTGAGCGTGGTGGCATTACATATGTATAATTTGAAGGTCTGGGTCTATTTTAGAAGCTGAGGTGTTTGCAGGCGCAGCTGTCAGTGGCAAACGCTCGTGTGGCCGAGTTGGAAGCGCAAGCTGCCCAAGATGGCCGGGAGGCCAGCTTTGGATTTGAAGTGCTTGGACCTAGGCTTACACCATCTTGTCTTACAGATTTCTATCAGATTCTTACAGTAAGCCTTCCAAACATCAACTTGTTTTAAGAGGTTTTCAGATGGCGACCACTTTGCTGGCAAGGGTATACAGTTTGAGCCCGAAATGGGGCTACTACAGCTCGTAAACACAACATTGAGCATCCACATATTGAGTATCGTTTGCACACTTTGAGCAGGTGTACGTCGGTGTACGTGCTCTTTCTTCAGATGTAAGTTAGTGTGGTTAAAGACTGTTGGTATTTAAACGCGCCTTGTGGGGAACTGTGGGGAACTGAATGTTCTGAAAAAAAATGGCGGGGTGAAGCAGCAACTTGTAAGCTGGCTTTCTCCTTGATTTGGCCAGGAGCAACCCAATGTGAGCAAAGAAAGGGAAGAGAATACGCCACTGGCCAAAGAGAGGTTGAGCGTTGTTTTCTGCATTCTTTATTTTGTTTATATACTTGGATTTTGTTGCGCTCTTTAGCCGCTCTTTCGGGCTTGCAACACATTGGACGAATCTCTTCATCGACCTGAGGCAATTGCAGGCACAACTGGCAGCTGCTCATGCTCGTGGGGCAGAACTGGAAGCGCAGGCTGCTCAAGATGAACCTTTGGGTTCCGAGGCGGGATATACTTAGCTGTGAGCCATATCACGAAAGGTAGCTTGAGCTACCTGAGTTCTCCTTGCTTTAGCAAACATGTATTACAATCAGGAGTTGGGATTGTGCATTGAATTTGGTCCTGTAAGAGTTGATTCTGTTCGTCGGGGGGGGGGCCCCCCCTCCCTGGATCAAATCACCCCTGCGCCGGTTCACGCCGTCATGGACTTCTACCAGGGTTACTTGTGATTGCCTGCTACCTTTCGTTCACCCCTCCTCTCTCAAGTTGCTTCCGTGTTGTTTGATTTGTGACGCTTCTCCATAAGTGGATTTGCGGAAGAAACGACTTCCTCTCTTCACAGGAGGGGTCGCCCCGTGCAACCAGCGAGGAGTTGGAGGAAATCATACTGTCCCTTCACTCAGCAAGATTGAAAACGCTTTGATCTCAGCATAACTACTCCGCAAAGTGCGCCTTGATTTCGTGAAGCCAAGGCAATTGCAAGCACAACTGTCAGCCGCTCATACACGGGTCGAGCAGCTGGAAGCGCAAGCTACCCAAGATGAACCTTTGCCTTCCCAGGCCAGATGTTGCGTTTTTTGCGTGTATATATATAGTTATACATATTTCATTGATATATGTATATATATTACATGTGTGTAACAGTATTTCAGTACTTCAGTGGAGGCTTGTGACTTTTGATGTCATTTGATTGTTACTGTGTGTCTTGCATGTTTTTGGTATTTAGCATATGTCAATGGGTTGTCAAATTGGCTTGGTGCCATCGGCTGCTAGACCCAACCAGGAGCGGTCCAAAACGGCAAGCGAAGATTCGGAGGACCTTATGCCACCTGGCAAACTTCGGAATTCAGCTGCTTTGTTGTTCTTTTTCTCTTTTTGCTGGCTTTTTGAGTATTGTGAGGGTATTTTTCGATTGGTGGAAAGGTGCAGCTGAGGCAATTGCAGACTAAGCTGTCAGCTGCTCATGCTCGCGTGGCCGAGTATTCGGAGGACTTTATGCCACTGGACACTGTTCAGAAAACTTAAGGTCCAGTGACTGTTTTTCAAGCATGTTGTTTGCGTGCTTTTTGATCATATATTCTGAGAGCCTTTTTCGATTGGTGGAGAGGTGCAGCTGAGGCAATTGCAGGCAAAGCTGTCAGCTGCTCACACTCGTGTGGCCGAGTTGGAAGCACAAGCTGCCCAAGACAAGCCTGTGGTGCTTGAGGCCCGCCACTATTCACTATTCTATGGGGCTGGGGAGATCTGGGGAGCACCTATTTGTTAAAGGTCTTCAATGTCATGTGGTCATGATGGTTTGATTTTGAAATGTTGCTCAGAGCCAACATTGTCCAAATCATGTTCAGGGCATGATGGACGAGTGAAGGTTAAAGTATAGTATAGTATAGTATATATTACATATATCACTTGCGGATGTTGAGGGCGGATATGCGTTTGGGGCGATGGAGTTCCTGGAGGGAGAGAGAGAGGGAGAGAGAGTTCTTTTTGGGTGAAATTAGAAAGAGATGAGTGCCCGGGGTCTCGATCCAGCAGTTGATAAATGTTCAATTTGGGAGACATAGGACGCCTTGGAAGGGTAATGCCTCAGCCTGGTCTCACCTCCGTTTCTTTTTGCTCTATCCAATGTTTCACTTCAACCAATGCAATCCTGTCCTATTTCACATGTGTTTGATGTTTCTTGTTTCACATTCTTCAAATCTCTTCACCTTTTCCGGTTGTTCCTCCCATGGGTTTCGTTTGAATCGGGGAGAGGTGGGGAGGATGACCACCTCGCTCTCCCCTCCAAAGAAATCATGCAGGTTTTATATACTGTAGGTGAACCAAAATACACGCGTATACCGTATACTGTACTGTATGTAGACGAGCCACAAAGTCCTCTTATATAATTTTAACGGAGTTGTTTCGTCACGGGCGACAATAAAATTCGCCTGGTGAGAGATTCGAGATTTTCTTTAGCCGTCGGTTGACTGGCGTACGCTCGGGCTTCACCTGTGCATCCCAATTCGTTGTCAAATGTATTCTTTTTGCCTTGAGACGTGGTTTGTGGATTGTGCGTTTGTGGAGGCCGCCCCTCCCCCGCATAAATCGACCTCGATTAGACTTTTCAAGAATTATGCGCTTTAATTTTATTTTGTGCGCACGACCTGTCACTAGGCAAACGTGAATTGGGAATAACTGGGATATATTTGTGTGATTTTGTGTGCAGGCTCGTATTGTGGAGCTGGAGCACGAGCTGCACGAGCTTCGTTCTCGGACAGATGCTCAGGCTTCTCAGGCAGAGCCCAGAACTATCAAGATGCAAAGCTTGTTAGGCACATAAAGTTGGCCACTTCTGTGGGGATGTGATTTGAGGTCTTCATGGTATCCATAGTGATGACCCTTGGAGGGACAACATCTAAACAATGTAATGATTGTGACGATTTCTTGCATGAGCAGAGCGAAGTCAGGCTCTAGATCTTCAAACCTCGCAGCTGTCAAATTGACATTTGCGTGCTTCACTTTTTGACAGGAGGTAAAGCCTTTTGCTCTTGACCTTGACGAGCCTAAAGGGAAGGATGGAGGCAGTGGCTGCAGTATATGTCTGTTATTTTTACATAGCTGCCGCTTTATTGATTTGGCCGTTTTATCGGTCCAATCACGTCTGGAATTTTCAAGCCGGGCAGATCTGTCAGATCTATTTCAGATCTCAGATCTGATAACATGTCAACCATTGGTCTGCATTTAGGTTGTGAGGTGAGGCCGCAAGTTTGGCAGGCGATGACGGCTGGGATGATTTCAACTTCGGTGATGTGCAGCCACCAGTGCCACGGCTTTACTTGGAAGTTTGGGCATGAAAGCGTTGCGCGTGAACTTGGTGAACCACATCAATAGACCACGGAGCAGGAAACACTCTAGAGTTGGTCCATGTAATTACTATATAGGAGGGGAGGTTACCGCAGACTACATTGCATTTGTCTTCTCTTCCGAAGGGTTGAGGGAGTCAACGAGGTGCTCACATTCTAACGTGAGAGCAAAGTACCAAACAAGGACATGGCAATCTCTTCAGTAACGTTCAGTAACCATGGGTTCACCTTCCTTCTTGCGCAAAAAACCTTGTTTGGGGGTGTCAGGAGTCTAAGTATAAACGGCTAGGATGATCCTTGGATTAGAGTCATGACCTTGACATTTTGAGCAGTCAGATTATATAACAATTGTGGGTTTCTCTGTCTGACAGCAGCAGGTGAAGCCTTCTGCTCTTGACCTTGACGAGCCTAAAGGGAAGGACGGAGGCAGTGGGTGCAGTATGTGTCTTGTTATTTTTACATAGCTGCCGCTTTATTGATTTGGCCGTTTTATCCGTCCAATCACGTCCGGAATCTCCGGAATCTTCAAGCCGGGTAGATCTGTCAGATCTATATATTTCAGATCTCAGATCTGATAATATGTCAACCACCAGTGTTTGCAGTGTTTGCAAATTCCGCACGACGCAACCTCCTTTATATAGATTTTTGGCTGAACTCGTGGGGTTTGGACGGAGGAGCAGAGAGCCTGGGATTTGGGCCAAGAGTTCTGCATGGGGTATATTGTCGGGTCGGCCATTTGTTTAAATTGATGTAGAATCTGTATAGCCTTGGTCTGGATTTAGGTTGTGAGGTGAGGCCGCAAGTTTGGCAGGCGATGACGGCTGGGATGATTTCAACTTCGGTGACGTGCAGCCATCAGTGCCACGGCTTTACTTGGAAGTTTGGGCATGAAAGCGTTGCGCGTGAACTTCGTGAACCACATCAATAGACCACGGAGGAGCAAACACTCTAGATTTGGTCCATGTAATTACTATATAGGAGGGTGGAGGTTACTACAGACTACATTGCATTTGTCTTCTCTTCCGAAGGGTTGAGGGAGTCAACGAGGTGCTCACATTCTAACGTGAGAGCAAAGTACCAAACAAGGACATGGCAATCTCTTCAGTAACGTTCAGTAACCATGGGTTCACCTTCCTTCTTGCGCAACAAACCTTGTTTGGGGGTGTCAGGAGTCTAAGTATAAACGGCTAGGATGATCCTTGAATTAGAGTCATGACCTTGACATTTTGAGCAGTCAGATTATATAACAATTGTGGGTTTCTCTGTCTGACAGCAGCAGGTGAAGCCTTCTGCTCTTGACCTTGACGAGCCTAAAGGGAAGGACGGAGGCAGTGGGTGCAGTATGTGTCTTGTTATTTTTACATAGCTGCCGCTTTATTGATTTGGCCGTTTTATCCGTCCAATCACGTCCGGAATCTCCGGAATCTTCAAGCCGGGTAGATCTGTCAGATCTATATATTTCAGATCTCAGATCTGATAATATTTCAACCACCAGTGGTTGCAGTGTTTGCAAATTCCGCACGACGCAACCTCCTTTAGATTTTTGGCTGAACTCGTGGGGTTTGGACGGAGGAGCAGAAAGCCTGGGATTTGGGCCAAGAGTTCTCCTTGGGGTATATTGTCGGGTCGGCCATTTGTTTATATTGATGTACAATCTGTATAGCCTTGGTCTGGATTTAGGTTGTGAGGTGAGGCCGCA